TTTTTTTTCTTGTAATATCTCTGCCATAGTAATAACCGTCAAAGTTCACCAATTCATATCCATCTATAGTTATCAGAATATAACCAAAAATACAAGTACCCATAGATAAAATTCTAGTGTGCATGTGAAATCCATCATGGACCGACAATACTAAAATTCCTATTACACTAGATAGTGGAACCTACATAAAATAAAGCACGAAAATTAGGGATTCAAGACGATCTCAGAAAAGAATTTTAAAAAGTACTTAAGTGTCTTAATCCCCCCAACAATTCTCAAATACTTGAATTAAAGTCAATATGCCAAAGAAATTTTTTTTTTTTAATTTTTAATTTAATTTAAGTACTGGAGTATTTTAATACAACTAAAGTAGATGTTATGCCCCCAAACTGGAATTAGACAGTGTCCTCACTGGGAAAAAATCAAAAGTAAGAAAAATAAGAATTAAAAAGAAAATAAAAACAAAAAACAAAAGCACTTAATAGGATAGCTAAAATGGAGGCGGTGGAGCATCGGGATTAAACCCATTATGGATCATAAGCGCACGCATCGTGTCCATCATTGTTCTTTGATCCTGACGAATCATCCTGTGTTCCTCAAGAATCGTCCTCTGCCCCTGATGGATTTCTTGAACTTCAGATCGGAGTTGGGTCACCTCACCAACCAAATAGTCATAGGGATGCTCATCAGTGTCATCCTCGTCATCACTTGCTGCCTCTTCCATAGGCTCATCATAGGGTTCATCAGCAGACTCATCGTTGATGACCTGTCTAGTAGGCAATTGACTTGGATGAATAGGCAAAACTTGTTCACCCTACACAATTGGGCGAGCCGGCTTTCCAGGTCCTGCAACCACCTTTAATGTCATGTGAGATCGACTGCGATTCCAATCAACCTCACCATAGCAATCATTGCACACAGAAGATAACTCATCGGTAGCAATAGTGTAGCCCTGAGAAATGAGCAGTCGAATAATAAAGAATGGCAAAGGAAACTTCCAATCTTTTTCTTTTTCCGGAGTTTGCTTAATCACCAAATTATAAAAAATTTTAAGCTGCCCATAGATGATTTCTGGAAAAGATACCCAATGGCCAAAATGGATGGCATATAAAGCACGCAAAAAATCTTAATGACGCTTAGATTGATGAGTAAGAGGACACACATTGTGCAAAAGTATGGCATCGACAAACCATAGGTGTAATGGCAAAGACAATTTGGCAGTAGAATAATATTTGGAGCCAGATAAATAATTTGCAGCAAGGCGGCTAATCATTAGTCTAGTGGGGACGTCTGACATCGGAGTGAACATTGACTCCAAATCAGTAGGGCATTGATGTGGACATCCCAAAGCCATGGCAATCGTCGAAGGAGTAATACGAATTATAATACCATCAACGGATGACATTAGTGCTCCCCGTTCATCTAAATTGGAATGAAGATTTTGGTAAAACACCTTGACCAATCTGGGGTACATGAATTTACTAGTCAGCTCAAAAAGGCATTCAGCTTGCCTGCGTCGTAAATCTGCAATGGGCCACTGAGTTTCTGGAACGCATGCATTAAAAAATGCGATGTCAAAACCCATTTCATAATTAAGTTTGCGACCATGCCACCTTTCATCTATGGTATCTCGAAGAGTTGGCTGCCTCATGGAAGATTGAATGGAGCGGCTTGTTGAAGCACCGCCTTGTGTGGCTTTCTTTTCTATGGAAGCCATGGAAAAAGAAAAAGAATTCTTTGAGGCCTTTTGTCAAACACTTGGTGGGCAGCCCCACTTTCTTGCCTTGAAACTTTAATTTCTTCTCCAAATTGGTGCAAACAATATGGGATGGTGAAGAATACAGTTATGGAATAAGGTATAAATAGATGGTGAGGAAGAATGAAGTAAGAAAATTGAGATGGTGAAAGTATTTCTAATGTTGGTAAGAGAGAAATTGAGGAGATTTTTTTTTTATGGAAGTATGGAATCTGGTGTATGGAATGATAGAAGGTGAATGAGGGGTGATGGAATGTAAGTATGGGTTTATGATTGTAATGGGGTAAAGAAGATATAGGATTGGGAGATGGAGTGTGGTGATGATGGCTGTGGGGTAGAGAAATTTGGTTAGTTTAGGAAAAGGAAAGAGAATGTGGGTAGGAGAAAGAAAGAAAGGATCTGGCCAAAAAAAAAAAAAACAAACTGCCGCAGCCTTTGTGAACACCAAGTCGGGCGACCGTCGCCCATGGGTTGGGCTAACGATCGCCCGACACTACTACCTAGTTGTGTATTTTTTTCCACTAGGCGATGGTCACCCATTGCCGAGGGATCGATCGCCCGGAGTTGAAGAATCTGGCCCATAAAAAATTGTTGAAGCCGCGGCTGTGTTAGAAATTTAAATGTCCGAGCGATGGTCGCCCGTGGGTTGGGCAATCGATCACCTGGGCCTACTACTGGAATCCTCATTTGGGCGATGGTCGCCCCAAATCCGGGCAATGATTCGCCCTTTCCTGCTGCTGATCCGAAAATTTTTTTAGACGGCAAACTTCAAAAGGCCTTAACTTTGGCATCAGAGGTCCGTTTTAGACGATTTTTTTTTTTTTCATTTTGGGTATTTTTTCGAGATCTACGCGGTGCAAACAGCCATAGGTGGTTTGGTCAATGTTTGGACCCAAAAAATGCTCCGTTTTGCTCCAATCATCCCTTTTTTCTTCTGAATGCCATGGAATTTTTATTTATTTATTTATTTATTTTTTCCGAAACAAGCATGACTTGTAAACCTGCACAAGTAACTAAAAGCACTACAAAACAAATTAAATCCTCCTAATCTACTAAAACAAAAGATAAAATTAAGGAGAGAAAGAAAAAAAAACAAAAATAAAAATGAAAATCTTATCTACACTTCCTACATTTAACGTCGGTAGGCGACGTGACACCTGGATGATTAAGTGGAGTAAATGGGATCCGTCAAAGTGACGGATTCAACTCCTTCTGTAGGCACAGAATCTTCAATGTACAACTTCAATCTCTGACCATTTACTTGTAGTGTCTTGCCTTTCTTTGGGTCAAAAATAGTGATAGCCCCGTGAGGGGTTACCATTTGAACTTGGTATGGACCATCCCATCTTGAGCTCAATTTCCCTGGAAATAGCTTCAGTTTGGAGTTGAACAACCAGACTTTGTTACTTGGCTCAAAAGATTTTCTCACAATGTGCTTATCATGAAACGCTTTGGTTCTAGCTTTGTAAATTCTTGCGCTTTCGTAAGCATCATTGCGAAGTTCTTCTAATTCACTTAGCTGTAACTTCCTCTTGGCCCTAGCTTAACTCATATCAAAGTTTAATTTTTTCACGGCCCAAAAAGCTTTATGTTCCAATTCCACAGGTAAATGACATGCTTTCCCGGAGACCAATCGATATGGCGACATCCCAATTGGTGTCTTGAATGCTGTACGATACGCCTATAAAGCATCATTGAGATGCAATGACCAATCCTTTCGATCTGGTCGAACCGTCTTCTCAAGGATATGTTTGATCTCGATTTGAAATCTCTACTTGACCGCTTGTCTGAGGGTGGTAAAAAGTACCTACCTTGTGAGAGATGGAATATTTCTGAAATAATATTCGAAGAAAGCAATTACAAAAATGCTTTCCACCATCACTGATTACTGCCCTTGGCATTCCGAACCGACTAAAAATATTGCTTTGAAGAAATTCAACCACCACCTTGTGGTCATTAGTCGTTATTGCCACTACTTCTACCCACTTGGAGATGTAATCCACCCCTACCAAAATATACTCCTTACCATGTGACATCGGGAATGGCCCCATGAAATCAATTCCCCAGACATCAAAAATTTTAATAATCAGAATTGAGGAGAGAGGCATCATGTCTCTTTTTGTAATGGTACCTAGCCGTTGACATCAATCACAGGCCTTGGCAAACTTGTAAGCATCTTTGAACAAGGAAGGCCAAGTTAAACCACTCTGAAGAATCTTTGTTGCTGTCTTCTTCCCACTGAAATGGCCACCACAAGTAAGTGTGTGACAAAATTTCAGAACACTTGGAATTTCATTATCTGGCACACAGCGACGAATAATTTGATCCAAGCAGTACTTATATAACTGTGGATCCTCCCAATGGTAATATTTCACTTGAGAGAAGAACCTGTCTTTCTCATGTTTGGTCCAATTAGACGGAATTCTTCTGGATGCCTTCTAGTTTACAATATCAGCATACCATGGTGGATTCTCCTTCTGAAATTGAAATAACTGTTCATCTGGGAATGAATCATGAAATGGAAGAGTACACGATGAATCTACCAAAATTCGGGATAAGTGGTCTGCCACCACATTTTCTGAACCATTCTTGTCTTTGATTTCTAGGTCGAATTCTTGTAGCAATAGAATCCACCTAATCAACCTTGGCTTGGTGTCCTTTTTGTTGAGTAAATGTCGAAGAACTACATGATCAGAAAACACAATAACTTTGGAACCCAACAAATAAGAGCGAAACTTGTCCAAAGCAAAGAAAACTGCCAATAATTCCTTTTCAGTAGTGGTATAGTTCAATTGTACCTCTGTTAAGATCTTGGTTGCATAGTAAATTACTTTTGGCAATTTCTCAATTCACTGGCCTAAGACGGTGCCCACTGCATAGTCTGACGCATCAGATATAATCTCAAAAGGAAAAGACCAATCTGGAGCATGCATAATGGGTGCAGAAGATAGTAAAGAGCGAAGTTGGTCAAATGCCTTTAGACACTTTTCATCAAAGTGAAAAGGAACATCTTTTCCCAATAAATTGTATAAGGGCCTTGCGAGTTTACTGAAGTCTTTGATAAAACGTCTGTAAAATCCCGCATGGCCGAGGAATAATCGCACTTGTCTCACCGATGATAGGGGAAGAAGATTAGAGATAAGATTGACCTTAGCTTTGTCTACTTCAATTCCTCTCTTGGATATTATATGGCCAAGGACAATTCCTTCTTGCACCATAAAGTGACTTTTCTCCCAACTTAAGATTAGATTCTTCTCTTTACATCGTGAAGAACAAGCACTAAATTCTCCAGGTAATTATCGAATGAAGACCCAAACACCAAGAAGTCATCCATGAAGACTTCTAGAAAATTTTCAATCATATCAGAGAAAATAGCCATCATGCATCTCTGAAAAGTGGCTGGTGCATTACAGAGTCCGAAAGGCATACGGCGATAGGCAAAAGTACCATATGGACAGGTGAATGTTGTCTTCTCCTGATCGTCAGGATGAATGGCAACTTAATTGTATCCAGAGTACCCGTACAAGAAGCAATAAAATTTCTTCCCTGCCAGTTTCTCCAATATTTGATCAATAAAGGGGAGAGGAAAGTGATCCTTCCGTGTCTTCAATTCAATTTACGGTAATCTATGCACACTTGCCAACCTGTAGTAGTACGTTAGGGAAGTAAAATACCTTCAGAATTTTTCACCATAGTGATCCCAAATTTCTTTGGAACCACGTGAATCGGGCTCACCCATTGACTGTCTGAAATTGGGTAAATAATGCTTGCATCAAGTAACTTGACTACTTCTTTTTTCACCACCTCTTTCATATTTGGATTTAATTGCCTCTGTGCTTCTTGCGAAGGTTTGGAGTCCTCTTCTAAGAAAATTCGATGCATACATACCGAGGGATCAATCCATTTGAGATCAGCCACACTCCAGCCAATAGCTTCTCGATGGTTGGCTAGTACTTCTAATAATTTCTCCTCTTGTACATCTGATAACTTTGCTGAAATAATCACTGGAAGAGTACTTTCTGGCCCAAGAAATGCATACTTCAGATGAGAGGGTAACTGCTTTAGCTCTAGCTCTGGCGGACACTCCAAATATGGTATAGGTGGTTTACTTGACAATTGTGGAAGTGGCTCAATAGGAATCTTCCATGGTGGAGTGTTGGGCATACACGCCACATCCAGCAGGGCATGTGATACCCCTCGGATCCGAGACATGGGTTGATCAGGCCCAGGCCCAAACCCGAGGGAAATCAAACAATTAAAGTATTTTAAAACGAACACAGATGGAAAAAAAATGAAATAAGAATAACTATTAAAAGCTGAACAGAATACTAATATAAAATCCTCAATAGCCTGATAAAACTTAATAAAATCCAACTTCCAAAACTTCCATGAATTACAACTCGGGAATCCATCTAGTGGACCCCTAAATAAAAAATCTCAACTGAAACGTAAACAACTGACATAAAACCAAATACTAAAATATGGAAGGACATCCTACGTCGTCGATGGAATGAATGATAATCCCTGCATAGCACGATCAAGCCTAAGACTGGAACCGTCCGATGCCTGAAAAATAAGAGTGAGTCAGGCCCACGAACAAGTTCTAATCTAACTGCAATCCATACAGTGACCCGATACGCAGATACACCTAAATACCTCACAATATCTATCTAGTCCATAAATAAATATATCCACACTAGAGGACCTTCACTGGACTATAATGGGGTCTCAACCTGAGTAGAAGGCAACATGCAAAAACGCACCCAAAGGTGGGCATGAATACCTAGACCTAACAGGGTACACCTCAACCATCATATCCAGCTATGCATCCCAATGCATATACGCTCCCTAACCAACGATTCTGAGACTCATGCCCATATCGTGGTGCTATAACATATATATAAAGTCCGTCTAACCCAAGGTATGCCATTTTATTGTATATTGAATTGACATAAGAATTTTAATCCAGTTTAGTCATTCAACTTAATCAGTCGATCTGACTTAAACACAACCAACATTTAATCCAGGTAGTCATTCAACTTAATCAGTCGATCCGACTACACACAAACACAATTAATCCAGATAGTCTTTCAACTTAATCAATCGATCTGACTAAACAAGGTTTAGGATTCAATATTTTACAATCCTTCCCTTAAATCCAATAGGTTAGGTTTATGCATTTTGAGCTAAACCATCCCTAGTATGACACCGTCCCATACTGGTTCATACCATCCTCCACAACCATGTAATTGACAGAATCTATCAATTCAGCAATTAAAATTCCACATATATATAATCCAAAACCAATATCCAAGTAATTGCAGGAAAACATTTAAAGTTCAGCAATTAAATTCAAGCATTAAACCATATAGTTGCAGATTGTGATTTCATAACTCAACAATTAACATCCAGATATGCATAGATCAAATCTAATATATCATTGACTCTATCACACATTTAAAATCTATTCTATAATCATATTATAGTCCAATAAATTGTTAAAATTATTTTAAGCAATTTAGTTCCTTCCATCCGGTAACAGCGTACTAAGTTGTATACTTGTACCCTGTTTTATTCCTTTTAACACAGGGCCATACACTAATCCATAAGTCTAATTTGTTAACTAAAATACTTCTCCGTACATCTAAAACTTAATTTAGAATCATGCTTTAACACCCTAGAGACACTTGAACCTAGAGTGCTCTGATACCAACTGTGATACCCCTCGGATCCGAGACATGGGTTAATCAGGCCCAGACCCAAACCCGAGGGAAATCAAACAATTAAAGTATTTTAAAACAAACACAGATGGAAAAAAAATGAAATAAGAATAACTATTAAAAGCTGAACAGAATACTAATATAAAATCCTCAATAGCCTGATAAAACTTAATAAAATCCAACTTCCAAAACTTCCATGAATTACAACTCAGGAATCCATCTAGTGGACCCCTAAATAAAAAATCTCAACTAAAACGTAAACAACTGACATAAAACCAAATACTAAAATATGGAAGGACATCCTACGTCGTCGGTGGAATGAATGATAATCCCTGCATAGCACGATCAAGCCTAAGACTGGAACCGTCCGATACCTGAAAAATAAGAGTGGGTCAGGCCCACGAACAAGTTCTAATCTAACTGCAATCCATACAGTGACCCGATACGCAGATACACCTAAATACCTCACAATATCTATCTAGTCCATAAATAAATATATCCACACTAGAGGACCTTCACTGGACTATAATGGGGTCTCAACCTGAGTAGAAGGCAACATGCAAAAACGCACCCAAAGGTGGGCATGAATACCTAGACCTAACAGGGTACACCTCAACCATCATATCCAGCTATGCATCCCAATGCATATACGCTCCCTAACCAACGACTCTGAGACTCATGCCCATATCGTGGTGCCATAACATATATATAAAGTCCGTCTAACCCAAGGTATGCCATTTTATTGTATATTGAATTGACATAAGAATTTTAATCCAGTTTAGTCATTCAACTTAATCAGTCGATCTGACTTAAACACAACCAACATTTAATCCAGGTAGTCATTCAACTTAATCAGTCGATCCGACTACACACAAACACAATTAATCCAGATAGTCTTTCAACTTAATCAGTCGATCTGACTAAACAAGGTTTAGGATTCAATATTTTACAATCCTTCCATTAAATCCAATAGGTTAGGTTTATGCGTTTTGAGCTAAACCATCCCTAGTATGACACCGTCCCATACCGGTTCATACCATCCTCCACCACCATGTAATTGACAGAATCTATTAATTCAGCAATTAAAATTCCACATATATATAATCCAAAACCAATATCCAAGTAATTGAAGGAAAACATTTAAAGTTCAGCAATTAAATTCAAGCATTAAACCATATAGTTGCAGATTGTGATTTCATAACTCAACAATTAACATCCAGATATGCATAGATCAAATCTAATATAGGATTGACTCTATCACGCATTTAAAATCCATTCTATAATCATATTATAGTCCAATAAATTGTTAAAATTATTTTAAGCAATTTAGTTCCTTCCATCCGGTAACAGCGTACTAAGTTGTATACTTGTACCCTGTTTTATTCCTTTTAACACAGGGCCATACACTAATCCATAAGTCTAATTTGTTAACTAAAATACTTCTCCGTACATCTAAAACTTAATTTAGAATCATGCTTTAGCACCCTAAATTGTCAAATTAAAACTAGACAATTTATTACCTTCCGGCCATCAACCGCATAGAAAGTTCACTAATTTTCTACTGTTTGTCCCATAGACTTAGAGGTCAATTTTAATCAATTTATGGTCTTAATGAAACCCAAAATAAACTATCTAATCCCTCTGTAAATTCCCAGAGGTTTCAAAACAATTCCAATGCTCCAACAGTAGCAGGTAATTCGTAATAAAAAAAAAATCAAAAATGAAATTACAAGAGAGCCTGCTCAATTTTTGGAAAGAGCAGGCTCTTTTAGAGCCTTGAGCCGGCTCCATTTCTTCATGGAGCCGGCTCTTTACCTAGAAAAGATGAGGGAGCTGGCTCCCTCATTCCATGGAGCCGGCTCTCTCCCCTTCTAAGAGCCGTCTCCAACCTTTGCAATTCCTGCGACTCTCTGCTTTGCTTCCGGTCACTTTCCACCTCTACCAGCCTTTCTGTTTGGCTTTAACACTGATTCTAAGAGTCTTATTAACCCCCATTAACATCTCCATGGTTGGTTTAAAGTAAATAAAAGCAAGCACAGCAAACCAAGTTACAACAGAACTGATCATGCTTTAAGGAACAAAACTGGAACAGATAAGAACGAATGTATTTCAGACCAATTTCTCAGTCAACAGATAGTGCAAGTTTAGCATATAATAATCATGCAAGATCAATTTAAGACTCAATTAATTCCCTAGAGTCTAAAATTACAACCGGACTAATAAGCTTTTCCAAGAAAACTGAAAACAGAGATGTACAAATTCTGTAATAGATTTGATTACAACCTAAACAGATTATCAGTATCATACCATTAACATGTAAGTTTTTAATTTATAATTTATTTAACCCTAGAGATTACCTAGGTGCACAGAACACAAGTCAGAGAGAGAGAGGAAGAAAAGAACTTGCCTATTCAGCCCTTGCTTGTTCCGGCAGCACAACCCTCTATCCAACCTTCTTCTGGTTCTAGGTAGTCCACCACCACTACACCTCCTTGGTCCTCCCTATTCTTCCCTTGACAAACCTTACAATGCTCTGTCCTTACAAAATCCCTCTCTGTTTTCACTTTATAACTTTGAGACGTGACAGAGCTTTTGGTAATTTTAAAACCCTAGGCTAAGACATAACAGAGTATTTATAGGCTTACCATTAAAACCCTAATCCGTGTATAATTATAGACAGAACCCTAATGTAGTCGGCCCATAACAACACCTACGTTTTAAAACAGTGTCGGCTACATACGTGAATTCCATTATACAATTAAAACTATACCCTAATTTAATAACTAAAATCTTTAACTTAACTTCCTTAAATAAATAAAAGCCAAATAAAAATACAACTAAATAATTAAAGACAGAAAATACATATCATAAAAAATATAATTTACCAAATAAATCAACTAAAATAACAAAATCCAATTAGGTCAAATAAATCAAACAAAATAAGCAATTAAACAACTAATTTAATAAAATGCACACAAATAATTTAAATTAACAGCAATCAATCAATTAATCAAATAAAAACACAATTTAAACAATTAATTAAATTAAAATACTATTTAAACAATACATTAAATACCAGGAATATCCTTTTAAATCTAGGGGTATTACAGGGCATTCACCTCTTCAATACTTTTCTCAACATCAAATGATTCAGCATCAAAGTAAGATAGACATGCTTTTAGTGGATCTTTTGTCAATGCAAATGGGGTCATTTCTTCAACACATTCATCGATGGCATTGACTAGAAAACAATCATTATTATCTGAAAGGCATTGACTGGCATTGAAAATATTTAAGCGCACCTTCATATTACCAAAAGATACGTCCATGACGCCTGTCCTACAATTTATGCTTGCATTTGCTGTTGCAAGGAAAGGACAACCAAAGATCACAGGAATGTGCCTCCTTGGTTCCGGAACGGGCTCGGTATCTAGCACAATAAAGTCAACTGGGAAGTAGAATTTATCTACTTTGATAATCACATCTTCGATAACACCACGAGGCTGTTTAGTTGACCTATCTGCCAATTGGAGAATAATGCAGGTAGACTTTAATTCTCCTAATCCGAGTTACAAGTAAACCGAATAAGGAAGAAGGTTTACACTTGCACTCAAATCTAAGAGAGCTCGCTCTACTTAATGATTCCATATTTTGCATGAAATTGTTGGAGCACCTGGATCTTTGAATTTTGGAGCAGTGCAGTACTGGATTATGGAACTAACTTGCTTAGTTAATAGCACCTTCTTGGGAATATGGCTACTTGAACGCCTCTTCAGAGTACACATATCTTTCAAAAATTTAGCATAAGCTGGAATTTGCTGAATTGCATCAAGCAATGGGAGATTAATCTTCACCTGTTTGAACATCTCCATTATGTCCTAAAGTTTACTTGCTTATTTTGCTGCCTTTGATGTTTCTTGTAGTCTCTGAGGGAATGGCACAACAACATGCCTTTGTTCTAGAGATGGCTCAGTAATTGGAGGTACTTCTTGTGCTTTTTCATTCCGCTCCTTTTTCTCTTCAAGTTTTTTCTTCCAATTTTCATCCTTCTTTGCTTCCTCTTCTTCCAACTTATTTTCAACTCTCTTACCACTTCTTAGAGTAGTAATTGCTTGCACTTGTTCATGGCGAACTTCTTGGCCAGTAATGTCATCAATTATACGCACACCTCTTGGATTAGCTACTGGTTGACTAGGAAGCTTGCCATCCTCTCTTCTGTTCAAGGCTTGAGCTAGTTGGCCAACTTGAGTCTCTAACTTGGTAAGGGATTGAGAATGAGACTGAACAAGTTGATTAGTTGGCTCTAACTGCTTTGCCATCATTGCCTCGAGCATTGATAAGAATTGTTGAGGTTGACTGAAGGCATTCATAGGAATGAATCCTTGAGGATTTGAAGTCTGAACTGGAGATTGAAAATTGCCTTGCACTTGAGGTACTTGAGGTGGAAGAGCTGATGTCCTTGTGGCTGGATTTCTCTATAAGAAGTTAAAACGGTTTCTCCAAGCCAAATTGTAAGTGTTTGAATACATATTATTCCCTCCGAGCCTTTCATATGTAGCATTAACTTGCTCTTCTGGAATTTCTGAATATTGAGATGCACTTGGACAAATGGACACATGGTGAGTTGGACTGGAACAGAAAGAACACACTTCAAAGCCTTGAACATTAGTCGCAGGAGGAATAAAATTTGACTGTGAAGTCATCAATTGACCAACCTTCTTAGTTAATGCCTTAATTTGGCTCACTAGCCCTTGATTTATCCTTACTTCATTCACACCTTCTGCTCTCCTCAATATGGTAGGAGGTCTTGCTACTGGAGGTAAGACATGTTGTGTAAAATTATCAGATATATTTTTGAAGAGCTGCCATGCTTCCTCTACACTTTTCAACATAAAATTTCCACCACAAGAGGCATCCACCATATACTTTTGTGCCTCATTGAGCCCCTTATGAAAGAAGTTGACAAGTTGCCATTTTGGCATGTCATGATGAGGACACTTCCGAAGGAGGTCTCTGAATCTTTCCCAAGCCTTATGAAAAGGCTCGTCAGACCCTTGAGCAAAACGAGTAATAGCATCTCGATATTGAGTAGTTCTCACCATGGGGAAGTACTTGTTTAAAAACTTCTGTTACAATTCAGCCTATGTAGTAATGGTGTCGGCTAGCAATGAATTAAACCAGTCCTTCGCCTTGTCCTTTAATGAAAAGGAGAAAAGGTGTAGCTTGAGCACATCATCATCAAAACTCTGAATTTTTATTGTTCTGCACACCTCTGCAAAGTCATCCAAGTGCCGGTATGGATCCTCTTTTGATAGGCCGTAAAAAGAAAGTAGTAACTGAAGAGTACTGGCCTTAATTTCATAATGAGGGACCCTCACTTGAGGATATCGAACTGCAGATGAAGAGTTGTATGCACCTGGTTCGTAGTGATCCTTCAAACAGTGAACTATTTCTGTAATTGGTAATAAATCCGCCATCTATTATTTCTTCAAGTTTCTGAGAGTTCTTTCAATTTCTGGGTCTAACGGAAGCTGAGGGAGTGACAAAGAACGTCTTCCAAGCATATAATGTCACCTACAATAATTAAAAGAAAATAGTATCAAAACAAAGAAGTAAAATAAATAAAATAAAATAAAATAAAATCCTAAACTAAGATCCTAATTGAAATTAATTGTAAAATTTAATATTATCTGTCAAGAACTAAAACAAGTTCCCAGCAACGGCCCCAAAAACTTGTTGTGAGATTTATATGTACCACTCGCAAGTGCACGAATCTTTGCAGATAGGGTTTATTTGTAAAGGTGTCGTACCCAAGGGACTTGTGTAAATTAAGTTTGTCAACAGATTTCTTAATTTCCAAAATTAACTTGAAAGTAGGATAATCGAATTTCTCGGATTAATTCTGAATTAACTAAGTAGAAAAATAAACTAAAGAACGATGATCAAATATGATGTAGAAAATAGAGAGAGAGAACTAGGGGTATGACTTCACCACTAACGTCGCACCACTAGTCAATTGTATTAATTTATTGGAGATATATCATATAACATGCATAGGGAATTAATCATGACTACAAGCACATATTAATTTAGCTAAAAAAATAATATAATTTAAAGCTAAGCATGGACTATCTTCGATTGGTATAAACCATCTACCTATCTACTTTACTTTAGGGTGTAGCATGGTCTATCTTTTCTAGGTATAATCCATCAAATCTCTAACATTATATTCAGATAAATACCATTGTGTAATCATCTCATTCACAACTACAAGAAGCGAATGAGTTGTGTTCAATCACAAGATCAAAATATCTAAGACAAGATAGAAAAATATTTGTAATTGAATTAAAACTTTAAAACCGATTTTTATTAAAAATTCAATCAAAAACCCTATAAATTACACAATCATGCATGATAAAAATTATTCTCCAATAATTAAATACAATCAAACCAGGGTGCTAAGATAGGGCTACATCATAACCCTGGCAAAGCGTTTAGCCAAGCATGACTGGAGTGAAATTCTTCATGGTTGAGGAAGACATCTTTATCATCATGGATTGATCCCTTCCTTCTTCTGAATGCTCCTCTCTGATCTCAGCCTCAAGCTCCTCTGTATGATCCTCTAATATTATAGAGGACCCCCTTTAAATAATAAAAGATCAGCCCTAAAGTTCCCTTTTTCATATAGAAGACATACATAGAAATTCTGTCGAATAAGGACTCCCAAAATTCCTGCAGACTTCTAGGCTAATTTTGACAAGGTAAACAGCTGTTTTAGGGAAAGCTCGTGAAACACAAAATTGTAGCTCAGAATTACTGGTGTTGACTGATTTTACAATTAAAGCCCTAAAATAAATAAAAACAATAAAACAATGTAAAATCACAAATAAACTATTATTAAGAGAATAAAACATGCGAATAGAGGGGCTAAAATGTATAACATTCAGCGCCTAACATTATTATTATTATCTTATATGCTAGCATAAATTGAATATTATGTATTTGTTAAACACCGGCACTGTGTACGAATATGACATTATTTTATGGATAATGCTTAGCTACACATCAGTTTTAATAATAAAATAATTCACATCCTCCTGTATTTTCTCGGATCAATCATTGAATAAACGTAGGTTATTTTTTTTATTAAAACTGATGTGATAAATTATTATTGGAACATACAAGGAATGAGTAGGGTGAAATTATTCACCAGTGAGTAGCTAAGCATTATCCTTGTACTCAACCCTAATGTGTTCCAATAACAAAATAACACATTAGTTTTAGTAACAAAATCAGCAAAATAATAATAAAAAAAAAGGAAGTCTGATCGACCAGTTTTAATTGAGTAACTCTTTTCTCTCTCCTCTTTTATCGATTCCCAACCCACGCCCTTCTCTCTCCATTGTTCTTCTTCCTTTTTTTTTTTTTTTTTTTGCTCAAACAGTAAGCCTTAAAAGCTACTCACTGGTGAACTCGATTACAGAGTATTGCAAAATTTTGAATGTGAACTCGATTAATCTCATCATTGTCATGTTCACTGATACTAGGAAGGGTATTCAACACATCATTGGTCTTGATGTAACCATGAAATTTAATCATCTCCAATCGTTTATTGATCATACTATCCATGAACCCAAACAACATCCCATGATGAATCTCCATTCTACTTCTTATACCTTGTAAATCAAACTTTCCGAGGACAGGGAAGTAATCAGCCAAATTGGGTTTTCCAGCCTCTTCAATCCAGTCCCGAACTGATTCCTTGATCCCTTGTGCCATATTAGAACTTGGGTCAATCGAATTCACATAAAAGGTGATAGAAAAGGCAATAGAAAAGATTTACCCAATTAAAACGGGTCGATCCGATTTTTTATTTATTTATTATTATTTTGTTATTTTTGTTATTAAAATTGATTTGTTATTTTGTTATTGAAACATATAAAGAATGAGTAGGATGAAGCATTGTCCATTTTATTATATGATTAAATTTGAAACCACAACATTTTGTTATGTAATTCGAATGTGCAAAAGCAAAATCATTGAGAAAATTCTCAAAAGTCTTAATTACAAGCTTAATGTCATGTCATAAAACCCCATGTCAAATGAAAGTCAGAGAATATGATAGGTTCAGAAACATTCAAAGACGGCAACAGAGTCGGTTTCACCAGATCAATGGTGTAAAATATTTTAACAGAAAACATTTTTGGAAGATCAGTTTATGTCCAAATTTATCACGATACTTTAAAGACTATGGTAAGGTTACCAACATTCAAAGATGGCAGCAGAGTTTATTTTACTACATCAATGGTCCAATATTCTAAATGGAAACTTTTTTTAAAATTAGTGAAATTTTTCTACTTTCTACACTGGAAGATGGATGGTTCAAGTTCTGTTAGACAAAAAGTTAAGAGTGTGAACACACTCATATGCTTACACGGAGACTTAAACAAATATAATATAAATATAAATTTAATTTAGGAGGAATATTGGCACTCCACCTTTGTAAAAGGGTTAAATATAAAAAAAAATCTCTAAACTATTGGGATTTTGCAAGAAATTCTCCTGAACTACAAAAAAATCCCTGAACTATTACTTTGTTGCAATGCAAAAGACAATTTTGCCCTTACTATTAACCACTGAACTAGTTTTTGGAACTGGTTTAGATTTTTGTCTTGGTCCTGAACTAGGACAGTGCTGCACTTGTAGCCAAACAGAGGTACTTGGGCCTTGATATATATATATATATTATACATATATATCATATATGTCCTGCAAACTCAGAAGGGGTAAGTACTGCAGCCCGACGGCGATGAGGATCGGCCAACAACGGAGGAACGGCGGTGAGCTCGGCTGGTTCGGATGATTGTGGAAACGGAGGGCTTCTTTCTTCGAAGCCTTCGAGAGATCCCACGGTGACTGGTCTTGGAAACGGGGAACAAAATTTCTATGGCGGTAAAGAGGACGACGACTCGTGATGAAGAGGCGGCTGGTGCTAATAAGCAAGGCAGTGCTCGGTGAGGAGGATCCCACGCTGAGCACTGATTTCTGGCGCTTGCGATGTTGATTAAGAAGGTAGTCTCGGTATTGCCCGCCGTTGATAAAGATGGTGTTGTGTCCGGTGAAGTTGTGTTGTCCGGCGCCGGTGAAGGTGACGGGACTGTAGGTGGCAAGACGGCAGCGATAAAATGAATTGATACGACGGTGATAAAATGAATTGATACGGCGGCGGCGAGATCAGCAGTGGAACCGCAAGCAAGGGGTTGGTATTACTTTTCACCCATTTTTCCTTGAGAAGCCGATCATCAAATCTAATTTTTCACCCAACTCCTCCAAATAGTGAAAATTTGGGATTTGATTTTATTACGATCATTACGATTTGATTCAAAAATGTGAAATTGTAAGGTTTTAATCTGCTCCTGACCCTTGGCAATATTGTAGTTGGTTTCGAGTAGTAATTTCTCTGCTTAAAATTGGTGAAAATTCCTTAAATTGGTAGCTTTCATCCCTTTTTTTACATACCAATTGGTTCATATGTATATAGGAAAGCTCCGTTCTTAGATTCCCGTGGCACTTTTTGATTTGCACAGCGGGAAGCCCTTTCATTTATCTCTGATACAAGAGATAAATCTGTAATGGCATTGTTTGTTTTCTACAAAGTCTACAAACTTTATTTGGGGCCTAGACAGAACACTCATCTAGCAGTTTGCACTCATATATATATATAGACAATCTACAAATGCCAAATTACACAAGGACAACCCGGTAGATATATATATATATATATCACACAAAAATAGAGGGAGGGAGAGAGAAAGGTTTAGGTCGGCAATTTTTTTGTGAAGAAGATGAACAGTGGTTCCAAGGATATACATTTGTGTGTGCACGGAGGGATAAGGGCATGTTTGGGTGTAGCAGGGTGCGTTTGTGTTTAGGTGTATTTTTATGTTTATGAGGGTATTATGGTCTTTAATTCAATGGCAATTTTCAACCGGTGCCATGGCCGGATTGGGTCATTTGCAACAAAAATGTATAATTTAGGAGAATTTTTTGTAATTTTTGTAATTCAGAGTGATTTGTTGCTAATTAGCCAATAATTCAGAGA